GTCTCGAACAATTCATCTCACACTTGACCGCGATGACCACACAGAGATTAAAAGAGCACAACCGACTGGAAATAACGGGCACAAAGAGATAGATGCACTGACATAGGCATATATATACGTTCTGAGAACTGTGACCCAATTAGATAGATTCCAGTGGAATGCGCGCGCGCGTCAGATTCTTCACGAAAACCATTAAGCATATGCGCACTCATGCAACCTCCTGACTGATGGTTCCAGTTTGACAAATATCCGGAACCGCAGCGAGTAGAAAGAAGGAATCCGGATTGTCGAGACTGATTGCTCTTGGTTATTCAGCTCTCACAAGTACCATTCTATCTGTCAGTGTGTGTTTGTGTGTGTGNTGGTTCGACTTGGTTTTGTACAGTAAAAGCGATTGTCGAGATAAAGTTGCTGTTCCTGTTCACACTTGAGTCTATGTATGCGCGAATCAGATTACTGGTTCCGTCACGCAATGTATTGTGGACCCCGAAATCGAGAGCATAACGGAAATAGTTTACCCGAATTGGGCCTACCATAACAGAATAACAATAGCCTAACAGTTAATTCCTTTATCACAGACAGACGGACAGACGTGAGATAGTCTCTCGGACGAATTGATCGAAACTTCCGCCACACCCCACTGTGTGAAGCCAACACTTCGACGATTGTTTCACCAAATGGTTGAATCGTTGCTTGGCTGGTTAACTAGCTTCCCGTTCATTCGATGGGTGCCGAGCTGGGAACTGAATTGTTTCCAAACCAGACACGTGGTGCGAATTGTGAAAGAGCTGGCCAGACAATGTGAATAATAGTGCCGACTTATGTAATGCTCAGGTAGAACAACGAACAAAGATTGTAGATAACTGGATGTGGAAAGAGATTCAGTCCAAACATAGAACGTGGGTTAGAGTGGATAGCATTAAAAAGAGCACTGTCTGGGATCAGTGGGAGCCGAATTCATCTTATGAACGAAGCAGCACAGCAGGTACTTCTGGCAAGCTTGAAAATATTCACCTGCATGTGTGAAGTAATACATCCTACTCCATATCGTTCGATCACTTTATAACGATACCAACAATTTCGTTCGATACAATGATTCTCTACCCTAGTAATGATGGTCAATCATGGTATCAGTTGAGGAGTCAAATAAAAAAGTGATGGTGTTTGGATTTTATACACTGATTGCAAACCACATTCCTATGGTAACTACATCAGATTAAGCTTATGACCTTGATGTAACCGATCGAAATTTAGACAGAAAAAACGTTATTTAAAGGTGACTGCTGGCGAATAATCTAAATCGGCCAGCTGATTACACTGACGGAGTTTTGCGGATAACAATGGAGAGTTTATTCCAACAAATCCATTTCAAGTTTCTACATAATACACTAATCGTATTATAGAAATTATGTTGTTCAGCAGATTGAAGTCTTAGTTAAATTCTGAGTGGTTCACTAGCCGCCGTGGGGTTTGAATCCAAACATAGAAGCTGTGCATGCATTGGTACTGGGCACGCTCTAACAGCTGGGCTATGGAGCTTCGTAGTTGTCTTTAGATCCTGGGTTCGAATCTTTGGTTGTAATCCATATTTCATTATCCTCGGAATCTCAAGTTAAAGAGCTGTGCTACTGTCAACCACGAACACTTTTACTCTGAGTTCAACCAAAGAGAACAACTCTTACTTACATCTGATCAGTCGCACAAGGGACGAAACGTGTTCGGAAGCCCCAAACTATGTAACGATTCCATCTCTGAGAAAATACCAATGTGTTTGTGTGGCCTCATGATCCAGCTGGCAAGCGTGCGCTGCACGTCCGAACTCCTTTGAAGTTGCCTGTTGTTTCCCATTTGTTTCGAGGTTAAAATTAAATACATGGATTATTGAATAGTGTAAGACTCTTAGGTCAGTAAAATACCCAGAACAAAGTTACTACCAATTGGTGTGCACAGTGTAAGAGAGAAGGTTGGACAAAGTAAACCTTTTACAGAATGCACGCAGCTCAATGATGATCTCTAATTCATTATTTTAGGGTACATTTTTCGAAATTTCTCGCCCCTAAAACTCTAATTACTTCTTGATTTGGGATTTTTGTTGACCTTTCATTAACCGTATTATAGCAAGAAAGTTGAATTCGTTATTACGGACACGAGTTGCTGTGTGGATGGAACACATATGCTGGGAAACGTTGATTCATTCCTAAAGCCCCTCTCCTCAGGAACATCAGTGTCCAATTCGTGTCCAACCGTTCATCACTGTCAGGTAAACGAGAAGTGCACGATGGGGAACTGTATTTCTGCAATCGTTTTCACGAACGAGACTGTATGCGCAGACATGACAGATTGCATGTAAGATAGTTACACTGTGGACTGGTCTCCACGGTGACAGCTAGAGGCTCGTGTTTTACAAGCTCTCCACTCATCCATTTCCACCCTCTCTCTATTTGATCAGACAGACAAAAAATAAGAGAAAAAGATGTTTAAGGTACCATCAGTGGAAAGTACTTACCAAATTCTGCATATGTGTATTGCAGAACGTAGACTGTTTTGAGGCTGCTGCAAGATTGAGAAATCTATCCTTGTACTTACCGCGTCATATTCCCAGCTGGTAAAGAAAATGAGCTGTATACAAGATCAAAAGTGGACGTCGAACACCTTGAAAAGATTCCAATGTGAAATGAGCAAATTCCCCTGTATTGTCCATGTGACTTCATTGCTAAAAGCCTCTGTGTATTTCGGTCTTGGGGATTAAGGAGTTTTCACATCCTTATAGCTTGGTGATGCCGCATACCCGGTTAAAATTTTGTCTCTAAGACGTCGGTAAGTTGACCAACAAGAAATCATTGCACAGCAGTTTTTACCTCTTCACCCAAGATTGCAATCCACAAGGACCTACAGACACCGTCCAGTAAGCAAGGCTGTGAATTGTAGTTTCAAATTTCAAAATAATTTCAGAAAATATTCTGTCTATGAGAAGATAGTGTGATCCAAAACATCCATCATTGCACTAATTTTTCTCTCACTTACTTCTGTTCTTTTTCTACCGTTGATTGCGTAAGTCGGTGCATGAAATTTCACTTTCCACATGAACGGAATGCATCGTTTGTTTTACGCCCGCGTTTTACTCTCTCGCTAGCCGTCCCTCCACTCACGCCCCACCCCATCCCCACCAACCACTCCACTTCCGCAAATGCATGAATGAATAAACACAAAGGATTACACTATAAAACAAAACTGTTTAAAAACAAAGGGATATCGATTGCTTCAGCGGCACGAGAACAGACCGGTTTCGGTCACCGCCTTTGTGCAATCGTTTCCGGATCGATTGGGACAGGGGTGACCGCCAGTCACCAAGTGTGTTAACGATACCTGTCAGTGGTTAATGCATTGACCGAGTCGCCTGTCAATCATCTTGCACAGAAGAGTTGGTTTGATTCGGGGACAGAAGAGCGCGCACGCGCTAGAGTGAGAGAGGAGGGAGCGAGTTACGGAAATAATTGCACACCGTCAATGGAATGATTCGTTTTCAGTAGAAAATCTAGCAAATAGAATCGATTATTTCAGTTAAAATAAAAAACACAAACTGTTTGGCGATATTGCAACAGAATTCGAATACTATCGACGCGCCTTTGATTGTTCAGTTCACGTTATTCAAGTATTTATGTGCGCTTTTACAAAGAAGCTGGTCTGTTCATCCATTGATTTCGAGAACCCACCTTACAAGTTATTGGGCATATACTCAGAAACATAAATGTNAAACATAAATGTTTATACTTTGACGTGGAGTTTACAAACTGATAAATGGGCCGACCAATACCGGATGTTGAGTTCTGTCATCCTTCAAATGTAATCACCTGTGAAACGCAATACTGATTCAAACTTGAATCAAACTATCCACTTTAGCAACTCAGAATAAGATAATGAACCTTTAACGAAGATCAACATTTGTTGCGAGATCTTCAGTTGAATTGAGTACATATTATTCTGAATCCACTTTCGTAGATGTGGGATAAAATATCTGAACTAGATGCTTTCAAAGAACACATCGGAATCAGTCTCTATGTGGGCTGGTTGACACACATACGCTCCCCCCCTCCCCACAACTCGTGTGCCGGGGTCCGCAGTTCAATTCCACAAGTATCGTTCAGTGATGCTTCTCTTCTATATTGCTTGTATAAAATTAACTATTTGTTTGTAATTGATTGATTTGATATAACTATTCTTCAGACTTCATCTTCACATACTATCCTCAGTTCACCAATTGAAGCGTACACTTGGAAGCACTAGACTCGATTTTTGCTCTTATTAGAGCTCGTCAGTAGTGCATATCCACAGTAGTAACACACACCTTTCATGCGATGGGTCCGGAGTTAAATCCCGGAAGGGACCGTAGACGAGCTTTACTGATTAGCTGTAATAAGAGTGAAAATCGATTCTAGTTCTTCCAAGTGCAGGATTGAATTGATGATCTGAGGATTGTGCGTGAAGGTGAAGTCTGAAGGATAGTCAGTTCAAATCAATCAATATGAATTATTCCATGCCACTACCCACAAATATCTGCGAATTGAATGCGAATGATTTGTTCTTAATTCACATTCAGCTCACAGTTATGATAATCGACCAATATTTGTTTTTACCTCTTTCAAATGTAATAAGGATATGAAATATTTACGTGTCGTATTATTGGTTTTATTGCAAGATGGATCGACCACTGTTTAAACCCGAATTCTATTCTTTTATTTCGTTGTTTCATTTGGAAACTAGTCTCCGATTCCTCCAATATCACTGCCAATCTTAAGAATAAAATCACCGGTCCACTACACACTATCCTCATAGTTTGTGTGTACGAAATCCAAAACGCCGCATTTTCCTTCTCTGAAAATGGACAACGAATACAAAAAGTATTCATATTGACAACATGATGGTTTTATCGCTTATGAAGAACAGAAATCTGGTTGAATTTGAACTCTTCTAACAAGACATAAGTCACACCTCACAGTAGGATGATACAAGCGTTGTGGAACAAATTGACACCAGGTCCCGTTTCCGCTCTCATTTTGCAGGATTGTACGAAAAATGGGACAACGAGTACGGGCACATACAGTTGTCTGTTGCTCACGTTGCCTCTTCAGCGTCTCGTCAGTTCCTATTTGGTCACAACCTACATTCCCGAGGTTCTCATCGTAATGGTCTCTTGGCTTGGATTTTGGATTGATGTACGAGCAGTTCCGGCCCGGATCAGTCTGGGGTTGCTCACATTATTGGGTCTGTTAACCGAGGTAAGTTTTACCGATCCACTCCATCCCTTGTTTTTTTTATCTTCGTTCTCTTTTTTTACTAGCCCTACCCTCACGGGTGCGTGGGGTGCGTGTTCTGGAGTGGATTTGATGTGTGTGCGTGTGCGTGTGTGTGAGGATAGTCAGACACGGGCGTGATGGTTGTATGTGCTATTTAGGGTGAAGGGTGAGGGGATTACGCACTGGGTTGGATCTATTCACACTTGGGCACGCATAAAAAACGACAAAACTGTGAAAAGGACGACGACAGACTTCCTCAGTGGACAGCATGATGGATGCTACAAACCAGAGCAATGAATAGTTGTCCGGATCACAGTCTAGCAGGATCTGCATATCCGGGAAGGGGGCGGGATAGGTGAGAATTGGTGCACTGGAAGTAACATCGAGGAAGGATTCACTAAATATGAATACATTTCATCAAGTATATTTTTGATATTAATAATAATAATAATCCAATAGTGCTAAGTACAGAAGTGAAAGAAGACTAATTAAGCGAGGCCATTTTGATTTTGTCGCTTACGTGATCGAATCAATTTAATTTCATATCCAGTTGTTTTGTATAATGATATTTGCTGAAAACAGTACCCGATTTGTGACGGACCTTTAGTCCCATTAAGTGACGATGAGCTGTGTTAGAAACATTTTGAATTAAACTATGAGATGTTGAAGACTTGAAATAGTGGTATTGCCTTTGGGCTATATGTATGACTTAAAATGAATTGTCATACGATATCGTCCTTTAAAGATGACCACAAGAGTTTTGAATTATTCCCAGTTGAATGAAGAAAAAAATTTGAATTCATACTGGATAATTCACATTTTTTATCCGAAGCTAACTTGTTTCTAACAGGCAGAGTGAAAAACGTTAATTAATCAGCTAAGACAAGCATTATCGAATCGAGCAGGTTGACCAGATGAATTGATGTATATTGATCAAACTCGACTTCGAGTCGTCCAGACGTCAAGTTATACGCATTTAATTCACAACAACATGGAAGGAAGATATGCGAGTCTTTCTTTTTCGACAGTTTTAGTAGAGTATTGGTAAACGCCACCCTGCTTCCTTCTTCGTTATATTTTTCCTGAATTAATCCAAGCAATATAACAATCCATAGGTCCATAGTTGAGTTACCCTAGCATTGCGCTCGCGGTCTACCGCAGACCGTGCGTCAGGCCATAGTTGTCGTCTTGTTTGTTTCCGGTTGTCTTGAACATTGTCTGAAGCGATACATCCTATCGAAATGTTTGCGTGTCTCGTTGCCTCTTATTCGGATTCATTACCCTCCCCCTTCGGTGTTTCATCTTATACGAGTCAGTTGGCAATCGTCTGAGTAGATCTAGGTTGAACATACCACAGAAACTGCCTCAGTATACTCAAGTGTTCTGTATAGAACATAATCACGCGAACATAGCGCCCATCATTACCTTGTTTCACACATGGCACTCAATCCGTATTATGTTTCACAGGGTTGTGGTTTCACCGAAGAAAAATATGCCCCCACACGTTCTGCCCAAACACAGATTTTCCAAAATCTGCACATTCCATCAACTGCATATTCACGCAAAATCCTCACAGATTATCCAGTCAAATAAACATTCGGGAATTATTAGAATCAACTTTTCATCCTGCTTGGGCCAGTCATTTGCGCATGTGTACCGGCCGGTACAGGACTTAACCCGGTGAATTATCTGCATGAAACTGGTATGCATTTTCACCAAATCAACCGGCTAACTGTGAAGTTGACCACAACCATTGACTCGAATATTGTTTGGATGTTGTACTTAACGTCAGTCACTTAGCTTACAACACCGAACGAAGATACTGTGTCCTCTGTGTTGACTCCGATCAAAAGCCTTCCACGTACGATCGTTGTATTTGGAAGAAAGAGTACAACACTTCAACAGTGTCAAATTGCTGTTCACCTATTTAAATCTTTCTTGGTTTCATCGACAGTACGCAAACCTGGGAGACTGGTTAAAAAAAGCGTACAGATAGATAGCTAGTATAGATAGCAATTGTACTCACCACCCAGCTGACCATGGCCGGTTTTCGGAACACACTACTTTCATTTAACTATCAGAAGGCCAAAAGTATGATGAATTATCAAATGCCAGCCCGCTTTATTCATCCTCAGTGACTAGATGGAACGACAACCGTCTGTAAAATACCTTGGTGTAATTTTCAACCGTAACCTCACCTGGTCTGACTACGTTGATGACGTTTTTCTGAAGGTCAAGAGGCTCACATTTTATGTTTTACATCCTGAATCACCTTCCATTCCAAACCATCTCATAAGGCGTTTTGTTTTTGCGTGTGTTTTGCCTCACTGGCTTTATGGGTACCCTGTAATCTTCCCTGGTCTTTTAACAAGGACCTCGAACACATTTCCTGATCCCTCAAATTTCTGTCAGTGTGTAGTCTCATACTACGAGAACATCTGGTACAGTATGTGGTGACACGTCACATCAAGTCCTGTAAAATATTCTCCAACAAGATTTTATTTCATATTACCCATCCTCTTTATTCCGTCCTTAGTCAGTGCCTTTCTCACTCATCCACCCGTTCCACTCACAAACTTATAAGGACACGCACTGAAGCTTACATGCGGTCTATTGTCCCTTAACTCGCCAGATTTCTAACAAATCATGAACTCGTTGCAGGAAACCTGCACAAAACGCTAAACTAAATCAACCATAAACACCCGGGTATGCCAGTGGTTTTCGATTTTGCAATTTTTTTTCACATCTTTTAATTGTTATATTATAGTGTTGTTGTTTTCCACTTTTTTTGTCACAGTGTGGTTATGGTTGGTGAATATTCACCTGTTGAGGCGTATAAAGCCATTTCTTGCCTTGACTTAACTATCCGGAGGTAAACCGATTGGAATTCGCTTTTGTTTTTATAAAACATGATGCTTTGATTCAGTTTGCTGGAACATTATATGCTGAGATAAAATCATTTAAGTGAACTGCATTTTTTCGATAAACGTCAAGTCCCATGGAGATGGTTTTCCAAAAACGATGCAGAAACAAGGACCATTTTATTTGCTGTTAGGTATATTTTAGGACTAAAGTCTAGGGAATGCATTAGTAGTTATTCGTGAAATTATATGGAATTTGTGTGTATGAGATTTTTTAGTCCCTGTCAATTGAGGACCAGCTGTTTTGATAAGATCCCGTATCACGATCACCAGATCTTCCGCATGATGAACCGAAATCCCGTAGATTCGGTTCCGTAATCGCCAATTCAATCAAAAAAAAGAAATGTATAAACATACCAGAGGATGGGTGAATTCATCAATTGAATGAAAACTCTTATGCGCTTCTTCTACCTTGAATATGCGGGCTGAACACTGGAATAAAAAAGATGTTTATTGCTCCGGAAAATTCTGTGATGCGTGCTTCTGACTCGATAAAATCAGAAAGACCGGATTGATCTAGCTGTTGGTTTGTGTTAAGAATCTCTGCCATCTGGAGCGATGGATATATACAGTAGACACTAGAGAGTTGTTCTCTCTCAAGTAGAACACATTGTGTAAATCAAGCTGACTGAGGCGGATTACCATGGAACCACTCAAACAAAGTAGTACGACCAGGCGAAAGTAGAACCAAAATAAACAGGTGTAAATGTAAATTATTTCAATTAAATGGGAGAACAGTTTGTTGGTAGGTTAGTTCCGCAATAAGGCACCAACGTTGCTGATGTTTATGTGGTTGTTGGGGTCTTGTTTATAATCGGACGACGTAGTTTATGTTCGTTGCTGACGTAAGCGGTAATTCACCCAATCTAATTGGGAGAACATTTCTCTTAGGTCGGAAACAAACTCCACTTCAGTTTATTCTACTTGCAAGGAAAAACTCACACAATTTGAAGCAAACTGATAATCAGTTGTGCGTTCCATTGCTCTGTTTGCACCATGACAAACAAGTATAAAATTTATAAAAGGTTACCCAAGGTGACTTTTGGAGCTCCTTTTATGAACTTTTTCCTCTGGCTTGTCTTTCAAAACTGAACTAACGAGTACATTTTTCATCTGATGTACTGTGAGCTCTTAACTATTCGTGCAAAGTTGAACCCATTAGGCTGGGATTGCCGGTCATCAAGGAAAATCTCTTCAACACTGATTTGTCTACTTTTCTGTAGTAGTCGATTTAGGCACTGGTTGACGAACCACAAATCGCAGAGGCAAGTGACACTGAATAGCACTAACAGTTCAATGCCGGAATCGTCCGTTACCGATAAGCAGAGAAAAAAGCCCCAGAAGTAGCAGTTCTTTTATTGAAATAAGTTAATGGGAATAAATAACATGTACAAAGGAAGTTTATGGGGTTTTACAGGAATCCACCAATCGCATTGTATGAATTTCTTGATGTTTCATAGCTTCTGTCTTGACAGCGTGACTTCTGCTTGATCGGCACGATTCGCCTGTGCTTGGTTGTCCAGAAACGGCAAAGCGTAGGTGCTTGGCTGGCGTCATATGGGCGATAGTTGACTCATTGTATTTTCATTCCCGTTTATTGGGTTCTGAGTGCACTGTCAGCTGTGATTCGGCATGTTGAAAAATGAATTCATCTATAAATGAACTAACTGAACATATTTTCTATTTATCAATCCTCAATGTTCTGGTAATATATGGACATCACATTTACCCGGGGACATCTTGAACTAATGTGAGGATATCGATGATCGATAATGAGAGATGTAGAACTGAGATGTTTGTAGTGCGTGGTGACATGATTTCTTAAGTCGAATGGTTTGGGAATGAACAAGCATAATCTGTGCGTCAAAGGAGTTGAATTGATGGGAAAGAATTAGCAAACCAACAATGAGAGCTTTTCCTGTCGTCAGATGAACGCATAGCATAAATTATCTGTGGTGAATGCATGATATATAACTTAAATAGTAAGCATGTTTTCCGGTAAAATGTTTGCGGGTGATCCTATCCGTGGTGGTCAGATGTAAAACCCTAATCGTTAAGCCATCTGTAAACGTTTCTCTAGTTGAAATTTATGAAATAAAATACTAATTATTTAGGGTGCCTTGGAGGGGGTAAAATTGCATTGATTAATTTTTTCTGTCCCTAAATTTGTTTCAATCAAACAACTGTTATATTTCTAGGCGTTTGGATGCTGTGCGTGTTGGAAAACAATGAATGAGAGTTCAGGCTTAATTTCTCCATCATGGGCTTTTCAGCTACCACGAGAGGCCTAATGATCTCACGCTGTTTTTGTCGCGTAAAGAACAATTGTTGGAACAGTTGATGACAGTTTTCCTACCCGGACTATCCAGGATAATCGCCGATCAAGTGCATGCACAGACAGCCGGCATCGTGTACGCCGACTTTGTGTCTGCGTGATCATTGCCTGCCAGTCAAGCGATCACAGTGACGTATCAGGATGCGATCTAAGTAGGTTGTTGATTCAGAGGAATAATTATACTGATGTATGCATGCATCTCA